CAATATTGTATTTTGGCTCTGAATCATTTAACATCTTTTAACCTTAGCAATCTCATCTGAACAATGGGCATAATTTTAATACCTACCTCATCAGAATATTTCTGAGAATTAAGCAATACACATAAAGACTTTGGCATACATATGCTCTAAAGCAATTATTAGGCTTGGCAAAGTGGCTCATGCCTGTAATCCTAGCACTTTGGGAGGCCGAGGTGGGAGGATCTCTTGAGGCTAGGAGTTTGAGGCCAGACTGAGCAACATATACTCTGTCTCTACTCTCCCAAAAATAAATAAAAGAAATTATTAATATTATTAGGTGGGGCAAATTGAACTAGAATTAGTGCCACTGTAACTTTCAGATATTTAATAATTCTGGCAGATTAAATAAAAAGTAGAAAATATGTAGAGAACTCTGACACAAAGCAGTTGTAGAAATTCCTCTCAAAAAAATTCTTAAGACAAGCACATTCCTAACAAAAATTCTCTTTAAAACCGATAGCAAGAAAATGACCCTGCGGTAACCATCCTGGGAAAATAAGGAGTATAACATGTTATGGGGATGAATCTTCTGTGGTTCATCCCCGTTGTGATCTGGAAATCCAGGCCTGGGTTAGAAATTGACTAAAGAATACAAAGGCATGAGATTGGTCACTGAGGACCTTTGTGAGAAAGATAAACTGTGGATGTCAAGAACCCACAAATTTGCCATATTTCCAAAGCAAGCATCCAAGTTTGGGCAACGTATGTGAATTTTTAACTTAGAGTCTTGTCTGCTCAGCAGAACTAAAGACCACGTTCATATCATACATGCTTCTAGAGTTACTTCAAACTCTGAGTCCCTGATCCTATGACTGACTTATTACTAACTATAATTCGCTTGAATGCTTAGCCATTGGATATGGCACATTACCAATGTTTAGTTAAGTGAGGCAGCCATTGCTTTGTGGTGAAATGTTAAGAATGTAGAGTCAGACTGCCTACGTTTGAATTAACTTAGGCTTCTCTACTTATAAGATGCATGACCTGGGGTGAGTCATTTTCCTTTACATACTTTACTTGTAGAATGGGAATAACATAAATACTTTCCTTTTAGGTTTTTGGTGCTATTGTGAGGTTGGAATGAATTGGTATTTTAAAAATGCTGATAATAGTACTTGTCACACAGTAAACTCTTCATAAATATAAGCTGTTGTCGTTATCAGAAGTTGTTTCCTTAAACCAGAAATTCTCAAACTTTAGTGACATCAGAATCATATGGAAGGCTTGTTAACACATTGATCCCCAGGCCCCATCTCTATAGTTTCTGACTCAGTGGGTCTGGGATGGAGCCTCTGAATTTATGTTTTTAACAAGGTCCAGGGTGATGCGGATGCTGCTGGTCCCAGGACCGTATCTTGAGAACCACTGCCCTAAAGCCTTCGTTCTGAATTCTCATGAAAAGCTTTAATGCGATGTAACTACAGGGAATGAAACAGGGTCATGTTAGTTATGTTAATTCAGTGTTTATGAATATTGGGAGCCCCATCTAGAATTGCAGGGACTATTAAATGCAGTCAGGTTAGTGGGGGGAATTCTGGAGGCAGCTCTGCCTTGGGACGGTGGGGGTGGAGATGAGAAAGGGAAATGCAATCCCTGCAGAGATAGTAGTATTTAAATCCAGTTCTCCGACAGTCTCTTTGAAAAGAGGGATTTCTCGGAGACATACACACACACACATGCACAAATATATATTTATATAGTAGAATATTATTCAGCCTTTAAAAAGAAGGAATTCCTACCATTTACCACAACATGGATGAACCATGAATGCCAAATGAAATAAGCCAGACCTAGAAAAATAGTGCATGATCTCACTTATATGTGAAAACTAAAAAAAAAAGAAGGTCAAATATACGGAGGTAGAGAATAAAATAGTGTTTGGGGATTGGGGAGAGGAAATGGAGAGATGTAGGTCAAAGAATACAAAGTAGCAGACGTGTAGGATGAACCAGTCTAGAGATCTAATGTATAATATGAGGACTATAGTTAATAAAATTGCACCGTATTTGGGACTCGTGCTAAAAGAGTAGATTTTAGATGCTCTTGCCACAAAAACAAACGAAAATGGGTAACTATACGTGATGATGGATATGTTAATTTGTTTTCACTATAGTAACCATTTACTATCTATACGTATCCCATAACTTCATGTTGTATACTTTAAATATACACAATAAAAATTTATTTTAGAAACGAATAAAGGGGGGCAGAGGGGATTTCTCCAACCGGACCAAACAGCACGTTCTAACTGTAGGTATCGCAGGTTGTTATCGCTAACTCTCAGCCTTCAAACAAAACTTTGGGGAGCCCCAGAACAGAGAACAAACAGTCTGCGGTGATTAAAGCAAATCCTTAAATGAAAAAGCCCACTTGTCAACAGGTGGAAGTGGTCAAGGAGGAAATAAAAGAGTGGCCACTGAAATTGCTCTGCCACCTAACCTGGACTTCCCTACTTGCCAGGAGAAAGCCCTGGGAATTCAAAAAACGAGGAGGAACCGAGAGTGAAGGAGCTTGCAAAAATAAGGAGGGGCTCGGTGGTCTCTTTATCCGTGTGCAGCTCGCCCGGTCCAGTCCCCAGACACCGAAGTCAGGCTTGCCCTCGCCCCGCCCTCCGTCCCTGCTGCCTGCGCGCCCTGGACCGTCTCTGCGCGACCCCCGGGCCGCCGAGCTCTGCACCCAGCCGGCGGCGCGAGCCCATTGGTCACCAGGGCAAAGAGGTGAGAGGCTCGGCCAATCCTTTCCCGGGAAGGGATGGCACCCACGCGGGGCGGCTGCGGGCACGATCCGCCGAAGGAGCAGGCGCTGCGGCGAGCGCGCTGGGAGAACTGGGGGTGGCTAGGGGAGGGAAGACAGTAGGGGGGTGAAAGCAAACAAAAGCCGCTTTTTCAGTGACCGATTGATGCCAGGCAAAAAGCACTCCGAGGAAAGGTGCTCATTAGGTGGAGACACCTATGTCAGACGTGTCCAAAAAATAATTTGAGGAGAAACTCCTGGGAATTGGGGGCAAAATGGAGTGATGGTAATAGTTGTTATATTTAAGTGACAAGTTTAAGGAGTACTAAAGCACACTATTGAGGGAGGAAAAGGGAAATTTAAAAACCTCCACTTTGCCTTTTGTTTCTGTGACAACGAAAACAAGGATCATGATAAAGGAACACTTCTGGACTGATCTGGGCACGGGTTGTAGCGCTCGAGTGGTGGAAGCGCTCCCAGGTCTCTCTGGAGAGGATTACTCCCGAGCTGTAAGCCAAAAGGACTAAGTCATTTGCTCACTTCGGGAGCAGACAACTTTTCCTCACTCGGGTTTGGACACAATTTTCCATTTCCTGGGAAGAATTTCTATCCCTGCCTATGTCACAAGAGGATTCAGGACCTGAAAGAAGAGCTCAGGTATCGTCAATTCCTATTTCATTATATACATTTTCAGGTTTAAGTTTGTGTGAATCCACTAGTCATATGTTCTTTTATACTTCTGATTCTCTTTTAAATAACTCAAACGTAGGCACACCCAGAACTTCTGTTTTAAAAGAGAACAAGAGTGTTACCTTCATCCTGCTATTCCTTTTTTTGCTTATGTAGTGATAATAAGGAAATGCTGTCTCCAATCATACAAAGTTTATTTAAAATTTTTATAACCAGGTGGTTACAATAACAATAGCGGTCGCATGATTAAACCTACATTAAATCTTAATTTGGACTAAATTCCAATAGTGATTCCATCATCTTTATATGAAGATGTAAGCATTTCAGCCTCCATGTTATTTCTAATGGAGTTTCTAATAGATAAGGATGGTTGCTGGTAGAATGCAAAACAATGCTATTCCAAGGAACACTGAGATTTATAAATTATGACGGTCACTTTTCTTAGAAAAGCATAATAAAGATTTTATTCAACCCTTGTATGTTCTGCATTTAGGGAGAGAATTAGCTTTGGATCCCTGGGTTGCCCTACAAGTGAGTAACAGATACCATTTTTCTGAGAAGTTAAGCATATTTCTTCCCTAGTTATACTCCCTTCACTGTCCTGTGGCAGACATAAGGAAAAGAGGGGACCAAGGAAAGAGGTAGAGAAATGTTCCAAGCAGAGCAAAAGCAGACAGAAGCCTGCAGGGGGTCAGTGTGGCCCACTGCAGCGCAGGTCCAAGGCTTAAGCCCTCTCAGCTGCTCGGTTAGTGTTGCTTGTGGTCATTACTTGGCAATAAAGTGTCCAATGTGGCTTTTTTCGCAAGGACTTGGAAATATGTCAGAAAAAGATTTGTACTTCCTTCTAATGGATTATTACATCCCTTAAAAATGTTTTTGAAGAAGGTTTAATTGATAAATTAATGATTTATCATTAATGATTTATCATTTAATGATTTATCATTAAATGATAAAATGTTACAAAATTGTTTAATCATATATATACACACAAATGTATATACATGTATACATATGCACACAATATACAAAAAGGCTGGAAAGTAATATAAAAATGTTAGGGATTATATCTGAGCAGTGAGATTATGAGTAATTTTTTCTTATGAGTATTTACAGTTTCCATATTTTCTATGATGCACATATATTACCTTTATGATTAGTTTTTAAGAGTTGATCTAAAGGAAATAATGCATAAGAAACAAACTAAGCCTTAAGTATTTCAGTTGTCCCAATATCTTCATTATAGTCTCCAGTTTCCCTTTTAATGAATACCTGAGTAATAGGGATTGCTGCTTTTCATTAAGAAGTGAGAAGCTGTGAATTATTTACAACAATAAATATCCCACTTGATCATAAAGCTCAGTGTGAGGCCAACACACACTATGGTTTAGTAAAGAATGTTTTACCAAAAAAAGTGCGAATGAAATTGGCCACTTATGACCCTTAAGGAAGGCCTCCCAGATTCCCAGTTACTATGTGTGGTGGTCCTGGGACTTTGCTCAAACCATATTTATAACTCCAAGGTATGGTGTTTTTTCAGGATGAAGGTGAAAGGCAGAGAAATCAGCTACTTGCTGGTCTCCTTTGCTGTGATCTGCGCAGTGGCCACACCTGGGAGCAGAGCCTGTCCTCATCGCTGTGCCTGTTACATGCCTACAGAGGTGCACTGCACATTTCGGTACCTGACCTCCATCCCAGAAAGCATCCAACCCAATGTGGAACGCATCAATTTAGGGTGAGTGGGGCCCTGTCTTATCCCCTTCTCAAAGAGGAATCAATCACACTTGTGACTTGTCCTCCCAACACTTGTGACTTTGGGAAATCAATCACAATTATTTTAACAGTATTTCTCTTCTGAAATGAGCTTATGAGAATCTTAAGTTTGTTGGGTGTAATTAGAAAATTTTTCCTGGTAAACTTTTGCTAGGAGGAAGTTCTTCTGTAGGTTGGAAGCCCTATGATTGTGGAAAAGCTTCATTCTGGCTACATTTCTGCTTGAAAATGATATAGCTTCTGTTAACAGTCGGGATTATGATATATCGTAAGAGATGACAGGGCAACTAGAAGTGTCCTCCTATGTGAAAAAAAAAGTCCTCAGTGTCCTTTTTAAGGTCCTTTGGCTTCCTTCAGTACAAACATTTAAAATGCATGCCTAATTAAATCTATCAAAAGACAGCTATATTTTAAAAGTTCATGAAAATGTATGTGTGAATGTACATGTAGTTGGACTTGACATTATTTATTTGACATTAGTGAGCACCTACTATGTGCCAAGCACAGAAGTTGGCACTGGGATACAGTGACAAGTAAGATATGTTACTCACTTCTAGAAGCTGTAGTTAAAGGGAGAAGACACATGTACAGTCAGTACAATTTAATAAGCACTATAATGAAGCATACAAAGTGCCTTGGCAACAGTCACTAATAATAATAGCTGATATTGTGTGTTTACTATGTGCTGGTGTTGAGCTAAGCACTCTGCGTGTGTTCATTCATTTGATCCTCATAACCTTTTTGGGGTGGGTTCTATTATCTACCTTTTATAGAAGAGGAAACTGAATCACAAAAAGGTTCCTGATTTTACCTAGCATCACATAAATACTAAGTTGAGCCTGAGCTCTTAGTCATACCCAAACCAGAAGCCAAAACCTGGGCTCCAGATCCCAGGTTTCTTTACTACTGATGAATTCCACCTGGGAGAATGAAGTGACAATGTCATAAAAAAATGGGCTGGGTCTTAATAGTGCTCACAAATAGAAAAGGGTGGGGTCAGGGGCATTCCAACCTGAAGGAACAGCATATACATAAAGGTTTGAAAATGAGAACGAATGTGGCAAGTTGCAGGAATGTGAAGAAGGTGATTGTAACTAAGACTGCAAGGACTGGGTAGAGAGTGGATGTTCTCTGGCATCTGGTGAATTTCAATAATATTTTAAGCATTCGATTATCTTATTAGAGCACAGTTAAAACAAGAGAGGTTTGGGGTTTTTGTGTTTGTTTTTGCTTTGGTGTTTGAGCTTTAGTTGATAGACTTAGCTTATGCCTAGACTGACATTTTTATTTCAGGTACAACAGCTTGGTTAGACTGACAGAAACAGATTTTTCTGGCCTGAACAAATTGGAGTTACTCATGCTGCACAGCAATAGCATTCACTCAATTCCTGATAAGACCTTCTCGGATTTGCAGGCTTTGCAGGTGAGACTGGTGGAGGGAGGGCGTGGGTTAAAGAGGTGAGGCGGAGTGAGTTATATTAGTTCAGATTGCTTAACCATTGTCCTGTATGTGCATTTTAGTTAATATTACTATGTATTAAAGGATAAACAAATCCTAATGCTCAAAGTATGTTAAAAGTAGAGGTAGTAAAATAATCTCTTTATATATATGTCCTTTTGTTAGTTTTTAGGAAGGACTGTCTTCTGGGAGTGACCTTAGTTAATCTACTTCACGGAGCTAGATGTAGTCCTGTTGTCAAGTCACTGGAGTGGGGGAAAAAGGAAAAGAGGAAGGGTGAAGGGAAGCGTTCTTTGCTTGTATCTCTGTATCCAGAAGATGGTTTTAGATTATAACTATAGGTCTAAATGTGCATTTTTAATAAAGTATTTGTGTTTATTGTGGACAAAGTTCATTATTTTGCAACATCTAAGCTTTGGAGATGTCCCGAGGTGATCATTTATGGTAAATAGTAGAACTGGTGAATTAGCCATTTCGTGAGTATCTTTTTGTTATAATTGATAGAAAAGATGTATCTTGGACATAGAATTGTTAGGCCACCTCCGAGCAGTGTATATCAGGATTTGTTCATTAGGTTGGCAGCAGAGGGGATGAAGGAAGTATGAAAGGAGAGATGTGTGCAGATGTGTTCATATTTACATTTTGATAGCCATTTATGTATGTGTGTCTCTTTGGGCTATACTATAAGACTATATTAAGTAATTCAATGGAAACATACCTTCTTGCTAATATTTTAATGGTATAAATCTGATAATGAATTCTCTTAGAAACATTACTTAGTGTATTCTGTTTCTTTATGTTTCATTTTATAATAAATTGAGCAGTAAGGGAATGCAGCATTTTAATCGGAACTCTGCCAATACTTTTATCTAGAGGCCTGTTGCCATTTTTGTCTTCTATGAAATCTTCATCCCAAGAAAGGCAGGATTAGATTTTTTTCCTAACAGATTGAGTTGGTGTAGTGTATTCTTGGTTACAAAATACTCATATAGCTTTGGGATTTTGGATTGGTAAATATTCATGATGTGTGAAAAAGCATGATACATAGTGTACAATCTCAATCCCATAAAATTGGATGTTATGTATGCACACTCAGGATCTAGAAGGACATGTCAGACTGTAAATTGCTTGTGATTGTGGATGACTTTGTTCTTTGCTTCTTGTGTTTTTCATTTTCCCATACTGCATATGTTAACTTTTTAAAAAGTAAAAATTTTATTTTGAAAACTTAAAAAAAAGAGGTGAGAACTGTGAGATGGGCCTCCAAAGGCTGCCCATGCCTGCAGATGCAAAAAGAAAGACTTTGTAAAAGCAGACGTCAAGGGAGAATGTCAAAGGACAGATTTCTTTTTTAAGGCAACTGTATATGGAAATTATTAGAATAACAAGAAAATTCTGAGGCAAGTTTTCTTATACCTCAGGCTAATAGAAAAAAAAAATAATACTGAGGGATCACTAAACCTTTACAATTTAATCCTAAAAGGCTACTTCTAGTCAGGATTATCTGGGAATTAAATATGGTTACTAAAAATAATGACCATCTTAGACAGATGTTAGCTTCTTATAAATCAATATGCTTTTTTTCACAGTTTCACTTTATTTACTTATTTATGCCCTCCCTGTCTTGTTCAAAAAATTTTAAAGTTATGGGGACTCCCAAGAATGCATAAAATAAGAATGATCACATAAGTGAGACAGTAAAAGGTAAAACAAGTCTAGGGATAAAAATAAAGGGGTTACAAGGAAACGTATATGTAGAGACCTTTATGTCTACTAAAAGTAGTACTGAAGCTGTCAAGAATCTACCTTACAATATACGACGTCTATTAAAATTTTTTAAAACAAATAAAACTGCTGTTCATGAAAAGCATGACCATGACTGATTTTAAATCAGAAGGGTCTTACAAAATACAGTGTGATAAAATAAATTAAGTCAGTAATATCCTTATAAAAGGGAAAATGTCAGTCTTCCCAGAGCCTTTTAACATAAACCAAAGCTACGTAAGGGTGGCTTTGACCATGGTGGGGAGCAATAGAACATAATGTAGCTATGTGATTCTGTTGATTTGGCTTAATCAGTCTCTATTTGGAATGTATGTCTTCAAAGGAATAGGTAGATTACATTTCCTTCCTAGAATTCTCCACATATATTTATTCTCTTGACCAAGTTTTCAACAGATATTGAGGAACATTGAGTTTGAGATTGTACTCCCAGGTAACATTTGGAACAAAGCTCTTCTATGTTGTCAATTGAATTTTTCTTTGCTTATTTTAGGGATCTTGACATTCCAGAAAAGCATCTTTGACAGAGATGACTAGATTAGGTCAAGTAAGGAAAATGGGATGAAAAATCATTGTTTTTTTTGTTCTTTCTGGGAGAAAGAAAGAATATGTCCAACTAATAATTGGAAAGGGACTTGGAGAATAACCAAATGCTATTAAATTATTCAAAATTTTAATTTCAACTCAGAATTTAAATCATATTACTCATAACCAAAAAGTAGGAAACACCCCAAATGTCCATCAACTGATGAATGGATTAAAAAAACATGGTATGTGCATACAGTGGAATATTATTCAGCAAAGAAAGGAATGAAAGACTGATACAAAAAACATTTTACTAAGTGAAAGAAGCCAGACACACAAGGCTACATATTATATGATTCCATTTATATAAAATGTTCAGAATAGGAAAATCCACAGAAACAGAAAGTAAATCAGTGATTGTATAGAGGTAGGAGGAGAAGAAAAATGACTGTTAATGAGTATCAATTTTTATTTTGGGGTGATAAAAATTTTCTGAAATTAGTGAAGGTTGCACAACTGTGAATATACTAAAAACCAATTAATTGTACGCTGTAAAAATGAATTATATGGCATATGAATTATATCTCAATAAACTAAAATCAATAGGTGGTCTCATGAAAAACTCAGGTTCAAGAAATCTTAAATTTACTTGAAATAACTTTAAAAACCCTTCTTATTGAAATTTTCAACCAAATGCAAAAGTAGAGAGACAAATATGAACCCCAATATATCATCATCATAGCTATCAACACATAACAGATCTTGTCTCACCTGCACCCCACCCACTGCCCGCCACTCCACTGAATTGTTTTAAAACAAATCCAAGTTATTTCATCTGTATTTCATTATATAGCTCAAAGTTAAGGAATCTTTTAAAAACAGCCATATCATTATTATATCTTATAATTTTAGCAATAAATTCCTTAATGTCAGCAAATGTTCATGAGTATTCTAATTTCTCCGATATTGTCTTGTTTAATGTGCAACTAAGTTGTTTGAATTAGGCTACAAACAAGGTATATACATTGCATTGGATTAATCTCCATATGTTTTATTATTGATACGCTTTTCCCTTTTGTGAAAATTCTTTTGATAAAGTAAATGTGTTTTTATTCTTAGGTCTTAAAAATGAGCTATAACAAAGTCCGAAAACTTCAGAAAGATACTTTCTATGGCCTCAGGAGCTTGACACGATTGCATATGGACCACAACAATATTGAGTTTATAAATCCAGAGGCTTTTTATGGACTCAACTTTCTCCGCCTGGTGCAATTGGAAGGAAATCGGCTCACTAAGCTCCATCCAGATACATTTGTCTCTTTGAGCTACCTCCGGATATTTAAAACATCTTTCATTAAATACCTGTATTTGTCTGATAACTTCCTGACCTCCCTCCCTCAAGAGATGATCTCCTATATGCCTGACCTAGAAAGCCTTTATCTGCACGGGAACCCGTGGACCTGCGATTGCCATTTAAAATGGTTGTCTGACTGGATACAGGAAAAGTCAGGTACCTACATTGTTTATTTCTTTTTTCTAATGAAATAGAGGAAAACTCCCTGGAGGTGTTTGTTTCATCAGTAGGTGGGGAGGCCAAGGTAATTTAGCTGGAGAGACAATGAGGTCTCAGTGATAATCAGGGATAATGAATTCTTTATGCATTGTTTATGGCTGTGTTTTTGCTACAGTGGCACACTCAAGTAGTTGTGTCAGAGACCTATAGTACACAAAGCCTAAAATTCTTACTATCTGGCCCTTTACACAAAAAGTTTGCTGACCCTTGAGAATCAAAGCCCTGCTCCTTAGCCTGTATGCCCGGTCCTCCTGGTGTGGCCCCTGCCTATCCTCAGCTTCCTCTCTCCTGCCCCAGACACACAGGCACTTTTTGCTCTAACAACTCTGAACTACTTCCTGGCACACACACGAGCATGTCATTTTGTTTCCCTAGATAAGGAAATAATTCATTCAACTCGTATTTACTGAGTACCAAGTATTAATACATATTTTTCAGGCATGGGAACTACAGCAGCGAACAAGGCAGATGAAATTCTGTGCCTGTGCGTATTATACAGTAGCAGGGTATACAGATAATACCATTTTAAAAAATCAAGCCAGAGACAAAAAACATAGAAATTTAAATTTAATTAAATACCAAAATTTTCAAATGTTTCAAATTCTAGCAAAAGCTCTTTCTTCAAAATGTTCAAATGTCAATTTATGAAGAGGCCACAGCTGATGATAATTCAATTGTTATTTTTTCCTAGATGTAATAAAATGCAAAAAAGACAGAAGTCCCTCCAGTCCTCAGCAATGTCCACTTTGCATGAACCCTAGGACCTCTAAAGGCAAGCCCTTAGCTACGGTCCCAGCTGCGGCTTTCCTTTGCACCAAGCCAACCATTGACCCATCCCTGAAATCAAAGAGTCTGTCTGTTCTGGAAGACAGCAGTCCTGCCTCTATCTCTCCCCAAGATTTCATGGCACCCTTCGGCTCCCTCACTTTGAATATGACAGACCAGTCTGGAAATGAAGCTAACATGGTCTGCAGTATCCAAAAGCCCTTGAGGACATCACCCATTGCATTCACTGAAGAGAATGACTACATCATGCTAAATACATCATTTTTGACATTTCTAGTATGCAATATAGATTATGGTCACATTCAGCCAGTGTGGCAAGTACTGGCTTTATACAGTGATTCACCTCTGATACTAGAAAGGAGCCAGTTGCTCACTGAAACACCACAGCTCTGTTACAAATATAAACAGGTAGCTCCTAAGCCTGAAGACATTTTTACCAACATAGAGGCAGATCTCATAGCAGATCCCTCTTGGTTAATGCAAGACCAAATTTCCTTGCAGCTAAACAGAACTGCTACCACACTCAGTACATTACAGATCCAGTACTCAGGTAATGCTCAAATCACTTTACCAAGAGCAGAGAGAAGGCCAGTGAAACACAAATGGACCATGATTTCCAGGGAAAATAATACTAAGCTGGAACACACTGTTTTGGTAGGTGGAACCATTGACCTGAACTGCCCAGGCCAAGGAGACCCCACCCCACATTTGGAGTGGGTTCTGGCTGATGGGAGTAAGGTGAGAGCCCCTTATGTTAGTGAAGATGGAAGAATCCTGATAGACAAAAGTGGAAAATTGGAACTCCAGATGGCTGACAGTTTTGACACAGGAATATACCACTGCATAAGCACCAATTATGATGATGCAGATATTCTCACCTATAGGATAACTGTGGTAGAGCCCGATGTAGAAGCCTATCATGAAAATGGAGTTCATCACACAGTTTTCATTGGTGAAACACTCGATCTTCCATGCCATTCTACTGGTAACCCAGATGCTTCTATTAGCTGGGTTCTTCCAGGAAACAATTTGCTCCATCAGTCCTTAAGAGATAAGCAAATTCTTAACAATGGCACATTAAGAATATTACAGGTCACCCAAAAAGACCAAGGTCATTATCGTTGTGTAGCAGCCAATCCATCAGGGGTCGACTGTTTGATTTTCCAAGTTTCAGTCAAAATAAAAGGACAAAGATCAGTGGTGCATGATGGAGAAACAGACGGATCTGGACTTGATGAGCCCAATCCTATTGCTCACCTTACGGAGCCACCAGCTGTCCAACCCCCTACATCTGATCCAGTGGGAGCAGAGGTTGGAAAACAAGTCTCAAGCACAAGTAAGAAGCATAACTATCAGGAATTTACAATACACCGGCAGCGTGGAGATTCAATAAACCGACGTTTTAGGGAACATAAGAGGCAGTTCCCTTCCCCTGCTCAGAGAATTGACCCACAACACTGGGCAGCACTTTTGGAGAAAGCTAAAAAGAATGCCATGCCAGAGAAACGAGGAAACGCCACATTAAGGCCACCCCCACCAGTCACCCAACTCCGGAAAATATCTAGTGAAGAAGACTCTTCGGGCATGCTCACGCCAGATGAGGAATTTATGGTCCTGGCCACTAAAGCTTCAAATGTTCCAACAAGGACAGTGACTGCTGCCTCCAGAACAATATCTGATAGCCCTGTGACAAATATAACTTCTGGCACAGAAGTCTCCCCAGTTGTGAGTTCACAAATACTACCACCTGAAAAACCTATAGATTTCAAACTATCCCTTGCTATTAAAACTACAGCTATGTCAAAGAACATAAACCCAACCAAGTCAAACAAAATGCAAGACTCAACCAGTCAACATTCATCCACTATCTTTCCACTACTACCAGGAGCAACTGAATTTCACAATGCTGACCAGATAGGGAGAAGAGAGCATTTACAAAGTGTACCCCCAATAACAGTAAGAACTATGATCAAAAATGTCAATATAAAAATGTTTAATAGCACTAACAACAAAGCTGACACAGTCTTAGAGTCAGTAAATACTACAAATGGTCTTCAGATACCTGTAACAGGCGTCAGTGAACTGACGAGCAATCACTTCCATTCTCACAGCACTCAAAAACTTGGCACCTCTAAGCTCCCTTCAGATCCATACACTGCTGCGCATTCTCAGATTTCTAGAAATAGTACAACTGACATCCCCCTATCCAGACGCTTTGGGAGACGGAGGAAACTTTGGGGCCGGGGGCGAATCATTAGCCCACATAGAACTCCAATTTTCCGACAGCATAGATATGGCGCTGTGAGGCCAACGGTCAGAGCCTCTTCTGAGGAAAGCACTACTGCGTCTTCAGCCACAGCGCTCAGAGTGATGTGCCCATCCTGTCTTCCCAGAGAAAGGCTTACCACGGCTATAGCAGCATTGTTGTTTCCAAGTGCTGCCCCCATCACCCTCCCCAAAGCTAACATTGCCAGAGTCATATCTCAAGAGTCTACAACTCTAGTCCAGAATCCACCATTACTATCTGAGAACAAACCCCATGTAGATACTGAGAAAACAACACATAAAATAAAATATTTCAGTGTTGAAAGTACCCCAGTGACTCCAACTGGTGCAGTCATGACATATGCCCCAACATTCACATCTATGGAAAAAACTCATATAACTAGTATTGGTTACCCAGGTGTGTCTAGCACCAGTGAAGCTAAAAGAGATTCAGTGATTACATTGCCACTTTCAGGTTCCATCACCAAGCCATCAAGGCCTACTCCGATAGCCATTACAAGATTTTCAAGAAGGAAAATTCCCTGGCAGCAGATCTTCATAAATAACCGTAACCAAAAAGAGAGATTAAGGAATCAGCATAAATTTGGCTTACAAAAAAGCACAACCATGATGCTTCCTAGAATATCTCCTGCTTTATCCACAGATAAAGTTTCCCCTTTCTATTTCACAACATCCTCGGCAAGTTTGATGCAAATTCCATCTATAACATCAGCTACAATTCACCCCAATGCCACCAAAACACACGGTTTTAGAAATCTCTCTACAATGAAGGAGCTGCCCTTTCCAGCTCTTTATCCTACTCTTCCTAGTATCACCAGCAAAGAATCAAGTACAATAAGCCCCATGTCAATGCAAACAGCCACACGGGCTAGTCCTCCTACTGCCCCTGAATCTGTCATTATCTATGAAACCCAAACAGCAAGACCTGGGTCACAAAATGTACAAAGAAAAAAGGAGCTTCAGAAGAACAGGAATGACTCAAACATCTCTCTAGGCCAGAGTTCTGGTTTCACTACATCCGCTGCTGTGATACTTCCTGTTCTAACCACAGCTGAAACTTCAGTCAAGCCCAGTATCTCTGCTTTCACTCATTCTCCCCTAGAAAACACAAATGGAATTTCAAGCACAAGTGGTCTTCATTCAAGAACTCTTAATCTGACAGATGTAGTTGAAGAACTACCCCAAGTGAGTACTCAGACTTTGAGGAGCACAATTGCTTCCGAAACGTCCAGCAAATCACAACAGAGTACCACAACTGGTAAAACAATCATCAGGCACTCAACTACACCAGTGTTCCTGAGCAGCAGCACTACTCTTTTGCCAATTCCCATCTCCCCTCCCTTTATTCGAAGTGCAGTGACCGACAATGTGGCAACTCCCATTTTCAGGATGATGACAAATGCAATGGCCAAGCCAGATGAATTCTCAAGGCATGATCCTAATCCAGGGCAATTAGTAGCAGAGGTTACAACTTCTCCCAAGGCTCACCCAAATGCCAAGTTCACAATTGGAACCAGTCACTTTATCTCCTCTAATCTGTTACATTCTACTCCTATGCCAGCACTAGTAACAGTTAAATCAAAGCTTTCTAAATTGACTCCCTCTCCCTGGTCAGAAAACCAATTTTGGCACAAGTCATACCTAGAAATTGCTGAAAAAGGCAAAAAGCCAGTAGTAGACATGTTGCCCACTCTAGGCTTATCAGAGGCCACCACTCATGCATCAAATTGGGATGGACAGAAGAATGCAAAGAAGAGTGGCTTTGATAATAAACCAGTTCAAAAAGTAACAACTTCCAAACACCTTCCTTTTGACTCTTTGTCTAGGAATATATTTGAAAAGCCCAGAATAGTTGGAGGAAAAGCTGCAAGTTTTACTGTTCCAGCTAACTCGGATGCCTTTCTTCCCTGTGAGGCTGCTGGAAATCCCCTGCCCACCATCCACTGGACCAGAGTCTCATCAGGTATTTGAAATTGTTTCCTTACATTTATTCTTTGTTAGTTATAAAATATGAAAAAGCCTGTGTTGTGTTTTGGGGTTACAGATGCGAAGAATAAGCACTAGTTTCAAATTTCTCCAAGATACAGAAACCATTAATATCATTTGATATTTGCATATTTTTTGTTCATCAGAAGTTCTCAAACATGTTAATTACAAATGTTTTTTAAATACTTTGAAAGCAGATCCCAAGGAATATGATTTGAAAAAAAGAAAGTGGTCATTGTGTTGAACCATCTCAGTTTTAAATTATGTGCATAAAAAAAATCCAGGAATAATTTTTGCAATCTGAAGCCTAGATGTCCTAATTTTAATTTTAAATGTATTCTCACTAGCTTAACAAAAAGATAGCTCTATGTTTTCTATCTAAACTTTGATGACCTATGGCCATAAATTTCTTTCTTCTCAGGACTTGATTTGTCTAAAAGGAAACAGAATAGCAGGTTCCAGGTGCACCCCAATGGCACCCTGTCCATCCACAGAGTGGACATTCAGGACCGTGGACAGTACCTGTGCTCAGCATCCAATCCATTTGGCACGGACCGCCTTCATGTCACCTTGTCTGTGGTTTCCTATCCTCCCAGGATCCTGGGGAGACACACCAAAGAGATCACAGTTCATTCTGGAAGCACTGTGGAGTTGAAGTGCAGAGCAGAGGGTAGACCAAGCCCTACAATTTCCTGGATTCTTGCAAACCAGACAGTGGTCTCAGAATCATCCCAAGGAAATGGGCAGGCCCTGGTAACATCCGATGGAACCTTGGTCGTCCACAATCTCAGTGTTTATGACCGGGGCTTTTACAAATGCATGGCCAGCAATCTGGCCGGTCAGGATTCACTGCTGGTTAAAATACAAGTCATTGCTGCCCCACCTGTTATTCTAGAGCAAAAGAGACAAGTCATTTTAGGGACTTGGGGTGAAAATTTGAAACTACCCTGTACTGCAAAAGGAACTCCTCAGCCCAGTGTTTACTGGGTCCTCTCCGATGGCACTGAAGTGAAACCATTACAGTTTACCAATTCCAAGTTATTCTTATTTTCAAATGGAACTCTCTATATAAGAAACATAGCCTCTTCAGACAGGGGCACTTATGAATGCATCGCTACGAGTTCCACTGGCTCAGAGAGAAGGGTGGTAATGCTTACAATGGAAGAGAGAGAGACCAGCCCCAGGATAGAAGTTGCATCCCAGAAAAGGACTGAGGTGAATTTTGGGGACAAATTACTACTGAACTGCTCAGCCACCGGGGAGCCCAAACCCAAAATAATCTGGAGGTTACCATCCAAGGCTATTGTCGACCAGTGGCACAGGTAAACCCCTACCTTAGTGTTGGAATTATCTGCTCTACCTGTTTACATTTCAGAAGTTGTATAGCTAAACAGTGATACAGCGAGGCAGGCAGCAGTTTAGAATGTACATAGACTTTGGACATAAAGACAACTCTAAAGAAACCTAATCCTTTGAGATCACTGAATAGAAAAACCAATCTTCTTAGATGCTTAACTCTAAGGGCCAACTTTTTGAGTTTTTATGGTTAACGAGCAGAATAAAAATCTCATTTGCCTTCATACTTGTGACAGTTTTAAAGTGGTAACTGTAAATGTATTCACACTCTCTATATCCAAAAAGAGGAGGGAATTTTTGTGACACAGTCAAGGTTCTGGAGAGAGACACTCCATTATTTCACTCTTCAGTATCTCCTATCAGACATTTCAAACTTTAGTATAATCAGTACTTATTTCTTCTTTCCTAAAATTGCAAAGCACTTTATAAAAATCACAATGTTAAGACCTTCACAAAGTGAAATGTATCCAGGGCCCTCATCACCCTGCTGCAATAAGACATGTATGTACACACATACCCGCTTTCTCTGATATGCTCTTTTATAGGCATATTATTCATTTTATAGCTGGTTTTATGTATAGATTAAATCTTTGAAATTCAATAATTATAGCTTATGAGTTTTTTATTCCATTTGCATGATTATGCAGTGATTTCTCATAATATGACAAAAAGGGATGAGCATTGATATTTTACATATTTATTCATTAACAGAAAATATTCATGTAAGAAAAATTATACATAATGTAAATTTACACTCATGCTTAGAAGTTGAATAGATTTTTTTCTGGTGTCACGATGAGTTGATGCTGAATATAGTTATTAAATTTAATTTGTGTGATCTTTAATTCAAAAGTAGATGTTAATTTTCAAGGTTTTCAAACAAGTCATCAAAATTACCTGACTAAATATTAAATTGAAATTAGTCTAGATTTAAAATTTAAACATGCTGAGTTATAAACTGTGTACTTCAGAAATCACATTCATGTTTGTTATGATATACATATATGCTACTATTCCCTTATTTATGGCATCAAATATTTTCAATCCTTCATTTATCAGTTTTTGCATTTAATTTTGCAATATCAGCACCTCTCATTTTTTTGCCTTCAAGTTATTGTAAGCATTTCATTAGTGTTGGATGCCAGTTCTACTTCCTGAAATTAATGCATTTAAAATAAATTCCACAGTATCCAGGATGATTGTCACTTACTCAGACACTGCTCATTATTCTGTGTAATTTTGAATACAATTTTTACTACCCATGAAGGTTACCAGTGCAAGAATCATAGACAGCATCACATTTGTGATGGGAATAACAGATTAAATTCAAAATTTAGGTTGTAAAGACAAGGTCTAAAACATTCACTGGGCACCAGGTCAACTTTAGAAAATGGAAACCTTTTATCAGGAGTTATGAACAAATATAAAGGAATGTCTTAAAAAGTTAGTCCAAAGGAAGTCTGAAAAGTACTCTAAAACTCATTGCTAGCATCTCAGAATAAATCTTGACCAGGTTTTCCAACAAATCCTTCAGAGTTAAGAAGCAAAGAAATTGGGCAAATTATTTTTTTTGGGAAAATACTTATGAAACACAGACAGATTGCTCATATTGTAGAAGAAGCAAAGGGTATATAAGATCACAGATGCTATCGTGGCCCCAGCAGAGGCACCACATTCTTCTTTAATAATGAAATAGAACTTTGTTTGCTAACTAAATACTTCAATGATTATTTTGCAACTAACCCACTCAAAAACGCAAGTATATTCTTCATTTCCATGCTTTAAATATGTCAACAGAAAGAAAAAGTGTACTTCTACTGCAAAACAAAAAACTAAGAAACCCGTTACTCTTCCCACTTCTTAGCATTAGAAGTTCGGATTTATTTTAGATTCTAAAAATGAGAGAACTGTACCCGGGCTGATCCAAGCCCACCCCACCATGTCCCAATTAAGCAAAACCCTTTCATTTTCTTAAAGCTTGCTTGTCAGAACCAAAAAGCATTTTCTCTCCCTTTTAATGGTCCCAGACTGAGCACTGCTAGTCTATCTCCACTACTTTGAACATAACTTATGTGATCTATGTTTCAGTGCAGAAATGGTTTTCTTTCCTCTTAACCTTGCTCCTTATGACCTGGGAGCTTATTAACCCCACACCTGACCTGCTGAATCAGAATCTGCACTTTTAAAAGATCCCCTGGTCAATCAGGCACCATAAAGTTCTAGAAGCAGTGCTTTCAAAAGGCTGGAGATGCTTGCACTCACATTAATCTTTATAAAGAATTCTGTTTCTTTTATTCAGGGAAAACTTCTACCTTCAAAATTAAATTATCTTAAAAATATCAGTCTCTTCTTACACATCACAGCCTCCAGTTGCATCAGACTTGGGGTGGGGGGTAGCCCTCTAAGTCAGGGGTTCTCAAAGGGTAGTGCCTCTGCCAGTAGCATTAGCAATGCCTGGGAACTTGTTGAATCAGAAACTCTCATTTTATGTTTCATCAAGCAATCTGCATTCTTAAAAGTCCTCCAGGTGACTTTGCACACTAAAATTTGAGGCTGGTTCTCAAACTTAATTGTTCATAAGTCACCTGGGAAGTCTGCTAAATGTTGGGTTTCTAGATCCGTGGCCAGACCTATTGCATTTCGGGACAGTAAAGCCAGGATATATGCCTCTTAAATTTGGCCCCACATAATACCGACGCAGGTGACGGGGGAACTCCATTGAGAGGCAACGATTAGAGCAGTGGTTCTTAGACTACGCTACACATGGAAAACTTTAAGGATACTGATGCCTAGGCCATATTCTACACCAATTAAGTCAGAAATTCTAGGGGTCAGACCCAGGCATCAGTATTAAACTCCACAAATGATTTTAATGTGCAGCCAAGTTTTAGAAAGCATTGGGAAAGAATAACATCAGGTGGCAGCATACCATGTTGGAAAGCACAGGGTTTGGGAATGAGCTCTGTGACCAAAGGCAAGTTATTAAGTCTCTCTAAATATCAGTTTTTCAGGTGATTAGTGAGGAAACTACTTCAAGATTCAAAAGTCAATGCAAAGCACCTGACAGTTTCCATTCCCTTTATTAAGTGCATTCATTATGTGATTTTACCTTGGTTGATATGCCAGAGAAGTTCCTTCCACACTTTAGGGGAAAAAAAAGAATGCCCTTTTATAATAAATAATGTTTTACTGCAATACTGTCCATACTTACATTTGCTGGAGGATAAAAATGACTTGAGGCTGTTTGACTTGGTTAGCAGTTATGTTCTGAAAAGTAGTCTTCACTTTTCTCTCCAGTTTTATCTACCTGCTTAGCCCATGTTGCCAAAAAGAAAGAGAAACATACACATAGATTTTCACCTATGGATGTCCTTGATCACACTTTTAGCACCAATTTCTGCTGGTTTTCCTGGAAAAACCAGTAAATACCTGCCATCTGCTGGTTAAATGTGGTAACAGCAGGTTGCGTAGTGGCTGTATACTTGAGAAAATGGTCTTCCAAAATTCAATCTCATGCAGAAACCAGTCACTTTATACCTGCCTGCGACAAGCTTCCAATGAGCTTTGCCTTGGTATTCTCTCTCTATAACAAAGTAGACCTTATTTTCTAACCAAATAATTGAAGAATTGTTTTGTTACTCATGACTTTTTAAAAAGTATCTGTCATCTTTTCTGAGCAACTAAATTTATATAAAAGTTTTCTTTACCAATATACCCTAAAATGATCATTTTCATGGACTCAGTTTATTTGAGATGTAAAATGGTCAAGGAAGTCATGGTGTCTAGGAATCCAGTATTTCTAGCATTCCCCTCATCATTAATCTTTAATTACCGTGTAAAGGAGATTTCTTTGAAGTCCATCTGAGAAATACTAGTTTGCACTAAATTACACCTATTCAGTTAGATAATTTCATCTTTCAGAAAACGGCTTAGAAGACAATTAGCTAGTAGCGATTGTAATTTTTATTGCAACAATGTAAAGTTAATCCCATGCACCACACACAGAAAACCTGGTGGGAGGTTATGGATATGCCAATTAGCTTGATTGTGGTAATCATTTTCATTATATCAAAATGTTATATACCTTAAAAATATACAATTTTTGTTAATCATGCTTCAGTGAAGCTGGGGAATGGAGAGCTAATCCCATGTAAGACAACTTCCCTTCCCCCACTGCTAACAGCTGCACACTTACCTTAGTCTTTTTTCTCCTTAGAATGGGCAGTCGAATCCATGTCTACCCAAATGGATCCCTGTTTATTGGATCTGTAACAGAAAAAGATGGTGGTGACTACTTGTGTGTGGCAAGAAACAAAATGGGAGATGATCTGATACTGATGCATGTCAGCCTAAGGCTGAAACCTGCCAAAATTGACCACAAGCAATATTTTAAAAAGCAAGTGCAGCATGGAAAAGATTTCCAAGTTGATTGCAAAGCTTCTGGCTCACCGGTGCCTGAGATCTCTTGGAGTTTGCCTGATGGAACGATGATCAACAATGCAATGCAAGCTGACGACAGCGGCCACAGGACCAGGAGGTACATCCTTTTTGACAATGGAACCTTATACTTCAACCAAGTTGGGATAGCAGAGGAAGGAGATTATACTTGCTATGCCCAGAACACCCTAGGAAAGGATGAAATGAAGTTCCACCTAACAGTTATAACAGCTGCCCCACGGATAAGGCAGGGTTACAAGGCCAACACAAGAATCAAAGCTGGAGACACAGTTGTTCTTGACTGTGAGGTCACTGGGGATCCCAAACCGAAAATATTTTGGTTGCTGCCTTCCAACGACATGATTTCCTTCTCCAGTGGTAGGTATACATTTCATGCCAACGGGTCTTTGACCATCCACAAAGTGAAGCTGCTTGATTCTGGAGAGTATGTGTGTGTGGCCCGAAATCCCAGTGGGGATGACACCAAAATGTACAAACTGGATGTTGTCTCTAAGCCTCCATTAATCAATGGTCTGTACACAAACAAAACTGTTATGAAAGCTACAGCCGTGAGGCATTCCAAAAAACACTTTGACTGCAGAGTTGAAGGGACACCCTCTCCTGAAGTCATGTGGATCATGCCAGACAACATTTTCCTCACAGTCCCATACTATGGAAGCAGAATCACAGTCTATACAAATGGAACCTTGGAAATCAGGAATGTGAGGCTTTCAGATTCAGCTGATTTTATCTGCGTGGCTCGAAATGAAGGAGGCGAGAGCGTGTTGGTGGTACAATTAGAAGTACTGGAAATGCTGAGAAGACCAACATTCCGAAATCCTTTTAATGAAAAAATAGTTGCCCAGCTTGGAAAGTCCACTGCATTGAATTGCTCTGTTGATGGTAACCCGCCACCTGAAATAATCTGGATTTTACCAAATGGCACACGATTTTCCAATGGACCACAAAATTCTCAGTATCTGATGGCAAGCAATGGTTCTTTTATCATTTATAAAACAACTCGGGATGACGCAGGAAAATATCGCTGTGCAGCCAGAAATAAAGTTGGCTATATTGAGAAATTAATCATTTTAGAAATTGGCCAGAAGCCAGTTATTCTTACATATGCACTAGGGACAGTAAAAAGTATCAGTGGAGAATCTCTATCACTGCATTGTGTGTCTGACGGAATTCCTAAGCCCAATATCAAATGGACTATGCCAAGTGGTTATGTTTTAGACAGGCCTCAAATTAATGGGAAATACATATTGCATGACAATGGCACTTTAGTAATCAAAGAAGCAACAGCTTATGACAGAGGAAACTATATTTGTAAGGCTCAAAATAGTGTTGGTCACGCACTGATCACAGTTCCAGTAATGATTGTAGCCTATCCTCCCAGGATTACAAATCGCCCACCCAGGAGCATCCTCACAAGGACAGGAGCAGCCTTTCAGCTCCACTGTCTGGCCCTGGGAGTTCCAAAGCCAGAAATCACATGGGAGATACCAGACCACTCCCTGCTGTCAATGGCAAGCAAAGGCAGGAAGCATGAAAGTGAGCTGCTTCACCTACAAGGTACCCTAGTCATTCAGAACCCCCAAACCTCTGATTCTGGGATATACAAATGCACAGCAAAGAATCCACTTGGTAGTGATCATGCAACAACTTATATTCAAGTAATCTGACATAGAGTAAAATTAAATTAAAAATCTGGACAGAGTTTATTTTTTGGAAGAAGTTTAATCAAAGGCAGCCATAGGCATGTAAATGAATTTGAATACATTTACAATATTAAATTTACAATGGACATGCAAAAAAAGACAAATGCATTACGAACTGATACTGATTTAATGGATCTCAAAACAAATTTTTAACTTAAGGCACTTTTATTTTGCCAACAAATGAACATCATTAAGAGAAAACGGTCCACCATAAAATAACAAACGGCTAACGTACCTGAATTTTTCAGTAAAAAAATGGACATTTTTCATTTACTACCAGTTGCCTAGTGTCCACTTTCTATCAATGTTACAAGCATGGCACTCAGAACAAAGACAATGGAAAAGATTAAATTTGTAGTCTCTATGTAAATTTATCTTGATGTACAAATATTTTGTGGTTGGTTTATAAATTTTTTGCTAAAACCTACAGAAAATAAGCACTGACCTATTTTATGATTTATCATTTGTTCACACTGAAAATTTTCATTGATGGAGGATACAAAAATGTTTCAATAACTGCATTTAAAAATAAATGCAGGCTAACTTTTTCACATGTAAAAGCAACGTAATTACCTGCAACATCATAAAATGTGAAAAGGGGGTTATTTTTGTCCAAATACATCCACTAAAAAGGTTTTAAAAATACAATGAAACTTCTTTATAATTTTAAAATCTAGCTCAGGCACCCCTGGTTTAGAGCTGTTCTTAAGAAAAATTTTATGAGGGAACATTGCTTTATGAGCATTTTATCTCATTAAGTGATCATTTTTTATGTGATGGGAGAATGGGAGGGTCTGGATCTATTTTATATAATGAAGTTTCACTGTATTTAAAATCTGATTAACTCTACACAAAATGCTTTTTGTAATTCACTGAATTTATTTATATTACATGCTTAATTCAACCTGAATTAATTTGGTGGACATAATATGATTCATCTTTTCTAATTCTAGAAACTGGGACTTTCCAGTGTAATTTCTCTAGCATCTATGTAAATATTCACTAATAATTATAGGAGCCTTATAAATGAAAAAAAATGCCATAGGTCATGTTCAGCTGTCTCACGACACAAAACCAAGAGCCATGTTAGCCCCTGCTAATCACGTGAGACATATGGAATAGCTCCCCTCATTGTGTTTTCATCACACCAACTTTCAGCTGGTCCCACCTAAGGGGTGACCTGATTGCTACTAATCTCTGACGTTGGACCTTGGGCTGCAAAAGGTCACAGGTGCTCACTGTAAAGTGATCTCCTTTACTTCTGGGCCGAGAAGGGTAAATAAAATAACAAATGTAACCTATTAGGAACAAGCCTGCAGTATAAACAAGTATGTCTACGGGCTTCTTTGATCCAAAATTTGTGATTAAGTACAGCCAACTCCATTAGATGTCAAAGTCTTATCTTTAAGGGGAGCTGGATAGGGTCTCCATCTTATTCTAAGGTAATTTCTTCTCTATCTCACCAAGTAAATTACCAGGTTCTGCCACATGGCTTTCCCTTGAGATCATTCTAATGCAAACTAATGCATTTGCTAGAAAAGAAAAAAGTAGAAACCTCTTAAGATAGAGGATTAAGTGGGAGAAAATACAATGACTAAATTAATTCCAGTTGCTTTCTTTATAATGCACAGGGGAAAAACAGCTTTAAGTTTTCCCTCAGCTTTCCATAGAATCTTGGAATTATAGGGCCTTACCATGACCTTAGCTTCCTCATCTAAAAAAAAAAAAAGACAGTAAAGGTACACCCTACAACTTTCATGTGCAAAATGATTAATAAATTAACTTCTGCAAAATATAAAGTGCATACAAATGTTATGCAATTATAACATTCTTGAAACAGTATCACTGCTGTTTGCAATGTTGAGCTACAAAAATATATGGTTCAACTGAAAACTGCCATTTTAAATACCAATAATTCTTGAAATATAACAAGGACGGAACATGACTCACTCACTAGGCACAACATTCACATTTCGGTTGTTTTGCCAATGCAGCCGTTATATGGATATTACTTTGAAGAAAAACAACTTCATGAACTCCAAGAGTGTGATGATTCTTGACAGGAAAAAAACCTGATATACAAAACCAGCTGAAATGTACAGATACATCTTCTGAAAGCAGATAGACTATGTTAATTTAGTGAAAAGAATGGTCTTTAATGTTTTGGCAAAGTCTTTTCCAGCCCAGAGTAAACACAAAATGAGCAGGCTGGAGTGAAATATTTTCACAGTGTACAAAGCAGTTCACATGGATGTTGCCACAGCAAAGTAAGCTGACATGTATTTGAGGTCATTTGCATGAGTCAAACTTTGCAATGAGTAACTCACCTAGGAAGATAAATTATTGATATAATGATTTGCAAAAGAAATTGTCTACTAAGGTTGTTATAGCTACATTTAAAAAAAGTAGATCTACATGGTTTGCTCATTATAGACAAATCTATTCACAGTATGCTTGACTACATTACGTGTAAAATCATATGGCAAAAGAAAATGAATTAACACAGAACATGGGAAAATATCCCCCATATGTTTTTAAATGCCCTGCAATTTTCACATTCAAAATTTTATGCATCTAAATCTAAAAAAATATTATATGGAATACTCTTAAGTTACACAAACTGATAATAATTTACTGTATTTTTTACTCTAATAGGAGCAAATTACCACATACTTGAACAAAGTTAAAATAGTTACTATTTCTTTATAATAAATTTGATGTATAATTTACTTGTGCTTTTTGCACCAATTTTATAAATACAGTATATGCAATACACAACCAAGACTGACACCAACATTAATAATTAAATTCAAAATAGCAAATACTTACCATACAAAATAAACAGCAAATACACCTTTTATGATAACCAGAGCCTTCTGGACTTTGGGGCCAGATTCTCTAGAAACCATGTCAAGTTTGAGCTCTGTGGAATCTCAGGCCAGCTGCTGATTTTTTTTTTTTCATCAAGTTGGCATAAGGTTCAGAAGAACCAAAGCTGGCAATAAATAACTGGAATGATTCCACTATGGTTCTTTCAGGCCTTTAGAGTTTACATGTTGTACCTTCACAAAGACTCTGGCCAATGATCTTGCCACTGAAAACAAATTTGAGTACAGCTACTTCTAACAGGCTTCCGCACATCTTAAGGTGGCTCTCAGAGAAACCTTGGTTTCAGTTATTGGTTTAAGAAGTCTAAGTATTAAGCGACAATCTGTTTCAGCACCTTTTGACCACAACAAAAGCAAAGTCCTACATAAATAAGAACAAAGTTTATAAAGTGCTTATGAAATTTTAAACATTTCAAATTAGAGTGATGCAAATAAATGTCCGTTTCACAATCACAGGTGAAAGTAAAATAAATGGGTCACTTTCCTGTCAAGATCTGACAAGCCTTTCAAATCAGTAGTTTGGTCCAGCACAGTTTGGGAAAAAAAAAAAGAAAAAAAACTTTGCCATTAATGAATAAAATAGATAAAACGTTTTAAATCCACCATAATTCATTCTTTCTGTAAATATGAGATTCAAAAAAGCACCAATTTCAAAAGGTCTGCTACCACACACTTCCTGAAGTTGGCCTGCATGATCCATATTTTTAAACCTACTTTAAAATTGAATGTGACAAAATCAAACCACAACTTTTCCCTGGCTTTTTGTTTAAACACCTTTGTGTGAGATGTAGCATAAAATATGATAAAATGTCAAAGAAATGAAAGAACAAAAGGACATTTTTAAGGATGACTAATGCATTAAATTTGATTTTCTATTTTTCAGTGCAAACACAAGACTTCATGTCTTCTCCTCTTGCAGATTCAGAAGTGTGAAGGATGCCCATAGGAAGTCACTCCTTGCTGTGGCTGGTTACCTAATGAGAAAAATAAATTCAAATAAAGTTACAGACACAAAATTATGCCACAGATAGATGTGACATTCTTGTCACTGCTCTTAGGACCAGCGTCAGGCATAAAGGAAGAGACTGCCTAGACAGAGAGTACTATCCTTGTCCTGAAAGACCCTAGCAGTGGGATCCAAACACCACCACTCAGTTCATTCTGCAAGGGAGCCAACTCTGCCTCAGAGCCCCACACCTGCCAATGCAAGGACTCAGGATTAAAGTAACTGGCCCTCCAAAGTGACTCCCTCTGAACTAAATGCCTCAATATTAGCAGTCAAGAGAACTACTACTGTAAAAGTTTCATACAACATCGGAAGTTCTCAAAATGTTTATAAGAGCAAGTCAGCAATTCTGCTTTAACACTGACATTATAATAGGTAAGAGAAACTTAGATTGGAATTAGACTTTTTGCAAACTCCATAAAATATGTATAACAGAACTGTGCAAGAGTGTGGCTATGTGCATGTCTACTCAAGCATGTGCCTAGGTATACATGTGTGCAGGCACACGTGCAAACACATACATACAGGAAAAAATAGAGAATAGTCAGTAGACACCAAAAACTAACACAGGCTTAGAAACAGCTACTGCTTGAATAACTCTAGGTTATTCAAATCCAGAGACCCTATTCATGTGGACTGTGATATAAAAAGAACCCTCTGGAGTCATGTGGTGGGCAGGTCAGCCTTGTTGCTACTCCTCAACAAAGGAAGTTGGCATCATCACTGCTAGAATCAGGCAGCAGAATATACACTGTGCTTAAGAGGTAGGCTCTGGAAGGAGACCATCTGAGTTCCAAGTCCCAGCTCTGCCCCTTGGTGTTAGCTGAATAACCCTGGGCAAATTAGTCAACATTCCTGTTCTTACTTGTTTCCTCATCTATAATATGGGAACAGTAACAATACCTAATCTCACAAGTTGATTAAAAAATAAAGTGAATTAATACATGTGAAGGGTCCCAGTGCCTGACTCCAGGAAAATGCTCCATACATGACAGCTTAAAAAAAAAAAAAAAAAAAGCTGCATTACTTGAACTCTGGTAAATAGGAAATAAAAGTATATATCCTCCTGCAAACAAACACTACTATTTAAAAATCAGGTATCTATTTCTAAACAATAGATTAGAAATAGGTACCTATGCCTTAAGATTATGTTCTCTGCAAGAATATGAATGCTGGAATTAATGAAATGCAATGAAATTTTAATTATAAATTTGTTTAGTAG